GTCATTCATGTGATAGATGTGATTTGAGCATCTTAATCTGTGGTTTCTGGCTGGCTGGCTGGCTGGCTGGCAAATTAGCTATGATTAACAAGAAACCAGCCTTATGGAGGTAAAACTTTTTGGGAATTATTTCCTTAGGATCAACATACATAAGCTGAGGTCCAGTGGGATAACCAAGGCTTCGTCTTAAGCTGGAAGCAGAACCTGGTAATGTGTAAGAGTCTCTCGGATGGTACTGGCTTTGAAGGCATGAAAGAGCCATGGAAAGCAGCCGAGGCTTGGCACTGTGTAAAGTCAGGAGAAGGCATGGATGAAGGGGCAGCCTCAGTTGCTATGGAGACCCTAGTTTGTTAGAGATGCCAGGGCTTTAGAATGAACACCAAAGATAGTACAAGAAACAGAATAGAGCCATTTTGAGCCTATGAGACAAGCTGAGTGTGCTAGAGTTGGAGACATGGAGCTACCTAAGCCCTCTGGAGCCCAGAAGATAATAAATCAGTACCTGGGCTTTTTGCACTGCTAAATTTTGGTTTTGCTTTGATCTAATTGTGACAGTGCCCAGGGTGGGTGGTTCTGGATGGCATACAGAAACTGAGAAAACATAGGAGAGCAAGCCAGTAAACCATATCCTTCCATGGTTTCTACTTCTGTTCCTGCCTCAAGCTCCTGTCCTGGCTTCCTTCAGTGATAGACTTATAGATTTATAAGTTAAATAAACCCTTTCTTCTCCAAGCTGGCTTTTGTCAGTTTTTATCACAGCAAAGAAAAACAAATTATTGACATGGGGACAGGGGAGGAATTTGAAGGAAGGGAATGAGGGAAAAATTTTATCAAAATACATTAATATACCATGTCTGAAATCCTTGAACAACAAACGAACAAATAAAATAGTACTAGAAGTCCTAGTAATGAAACTAAAAGGAAGAGGCAAAATGGTGCATTCCCAAATAGTAAAACTTTACATAAAAAAAGCATAAAGAATAGAAAAAGAAAAAGAGAAAAGCAGAGGTTCTAAATACAGTGCACAGCAGAATGAAGCTGTCTATCTATCCAACATGGAATCACTGGGCTGGTGCAACCTACTGGCTTCCGGATGTACGGGGTTTAATTCGACGTGCATATGACACACGGGATTAAACGTTGGTAACTAAGTTAAGACATCGAAAGGCTAGTCAGAACTGGGACCTATCCCAAAGGTCCATTCTGGGTCACTTCTGACAAATTTAGAAGACCCACACACTTCTCAGAGCTGAAAAAAACTGTTTCAAAAGAGACAATGTGAAAAAAATGCCTCAAAATATCTTTTAGTGGGTGGATTTGGCACATTTCACAGAACACCTTTGAGCTTAGTCCAATTTTGAATTAAGCCAGAGTTCACCTTTAAGAAACAATGAACCTGTTTTTAAGTAAGACCCTGTATTAATAAGAAACATGGAATGTAAGTACAAAAAGATATTATCAACTGAACTATATCTAAATATTTTACAAAGTTTTCCATGAGCCATCAGTAGATCTTTAAAATGCATGAGCTTTTTAAGGCTTTGTTAGTCATTCATCTGTAAAAACCCAGCTTTTTATGTGTGTGCCAAGCATAAAATTGCCCTATGCTAAATTTAACACAAATTTCACATTGCAGAGTAATGTGTTCTTGTACTCCAACATAATTATGACAGCCATTCAAAGGGCAAAAACACACTTAGAACAGTCTGCCTTCTGATAAAGCTTAGTAAATGAAGAAAGCCTGAGGAACATACAGAAATCAGGTCCACATTTTAAAGCTGCAGGCAATCAAGCCAAGAAAATAAATGGAGGAGCCAGGCTATATAATCACAGTCCCTTGTAAAATCATTTAAACTATTTCTTAGTTGTAATTGTTAGCAGTTTCTTGTGACTGTAATCTTTTAAAAAAATCTTCTACCACAAAAATTAAATGCACATGTACATTAACATTTTTGTCTACTTATAGTTAGGTGCCAGTGTGCCAGATTAAAATTTCCTTTTTCCAATTTTGCACTCTCTATTAATTCTAGTACATTTGGTTCCCAGTTAATTTTGTATTATTTTTCCCAATAATGGTTGGCTAGAAATTGAAGTCATGAAGAGTTTGAGAAGGAAAATAGTGAAGAGAGGCATTTAGTGTTTCTGCAAAGCAACACTTCTTTTTTTAGATGCTATTCAGTGCTGCTAATCACTTTACTGTTACATAATTAAGATTCCCAACTTTACACAGCGGTATGCAAAAACACTTAGCAAACTTGGTCAGTAGTAAGATGTGAGCAGAGTTTCTTAAGGCGAGATGGTGTGTCAGCACTGGCAGTCCGTCTTCTTGAGGCCTTCTGGAGATTCTGCTCACACCTTTTCCTGAAGAATGCTAACATGGATGTAGATCACTTAGAGCAAAAACTTAAGTAGACAAGAAGTCAGTCAAAACATTACTATAATAACCAAACTTAAACTAATTTTTAGGAAGTGATTTGCTGTCCGGTGATCAATTCCCAAGCAGAGACTTTTTTCCTAATATGATTAACTAGCTTTCACTGGCTTTAGGCTGATCGGAGATGAGAACCAACCCTGTGCAAAACTGAACTGCCTTTACTCACAACAGTAACCTAGTCTGAGCCACCAGTGTTAAAGAGCCTTAGGTCTGCCTCCTCACCTCTCACTGCTGGGAAGGGGTGAAGAAATACTCATTTCAAATCTGTTTGAGCCACTGTAAACCAAAGAAGGTCCTAAAGAGTAAATAACTTAGCTTTAGGAAGGCTCCAAACACTTCTATCATTTATAGCTTTGTGTCTAAAACAAAACTGATTTGCATTCTTATACATTTCTGACTACTTAAACTCATTGGCCTCCCTCTTTGTGGTAGCTCTTCCTATACTTTGCAAAGGAGGTACAATAACCCTCAGCAAATTAAATTAACCCAGGGACTGAATGAAGAGACAGCTCAGTGAGTGGTTAAGAGCACATGCTGTTCATGAACTCACAGCAGCTGTGGCCACCTACTGTAGTGAGATGTTTACTCTTTTGGCTTTTTGTTCTTTGGGGGGGGGTGGCTGCTGCCCAGCCCCCCCCCAAAAAAAAAGAAAAGCACAGGCTGTTCTTGCAGAGGACTCAAGATGGGGTCCAAGAAACCTCACCAGTCAATTCCCAACCACCTGTAACTCCAATTCCAGGAGCTATAATGTCCTATTCTGGCTTTCACAAGCACCCTCCCCACACCACACACACACACACACACACACACACACACACACACACCAGCATTCACTCACAGAGATGCACACATACATATAAATTTAAGAAAAATCAATCTTTAAAAGAAATGAGTCAAATAAAATAAAAAAAACACTAATTCTAAGGGCCAAAATATCAACTTAAATGAATGCAGGTTGCAGATCATCTACAGTGTGCTCTCATATTTAAGGGGCCAGATAAGTAACTGTATGTCTTCCATTTTCAAATACATTAAGTTCACATTCTTTAAAATGTGCCAAATGCAAATTTCCAAGAATAAACTATATATTCTTTGGCCAGATGTGCATGCAAAAAATATCTGATAAAAAATGTATAAGAATGGGATTTCTGGCCAATGTAAACAGCATCATATCCTTTTTGCAAAAGAAGGGGAAGGTATGAAAAACAAATTTCATTACAAGATTATTAATAGGTGCTGAGTTCTAAATGCTTTATATAAAACTATAATCAATTTAATGTCCCATACATCCCTTCACCAAGTAGTTGCAAGCAGATATATCCAAACACCAAAGGAATAGAGCAGAAGCACTAAGCACCCTGAAGTGGTCCCACTTCTCCTGGGCTACATGCTCAGTCCACACATATTATTCCTGTGTATATATAGTACAAGGTCTACCTGCCTGCTGATTTAAATTCTTCCCAGAAAAGTTACCCAGGAATATTATTATCTCACTAAAATATTACTTAATAGAGGCTGTTTTTGATAGATCAAGAATTCAATTCTATGAGCATGGTTTCATAAGAATCATTTTTGATTTCCACTCATCAAAAGATAAACTGCCAGTAAAAGACTATAGACCTTTTGTTATGACAATGTGCAGATTTAAGCTTTGTTAGTGTTCCGAATGAAAGAGGGTTAGAAAGGAGTGCTGGAGAGATGGCTCAGTGGTTAAGAACACTGGCTGCTCTTCCAGAGGATACTGGTTTGATTCTCAGCACCCACATGGCAGCTCACAACTGTTTGTAACTCTAGTTCCAGTGGATCTAATATTTTCATCTCACCACTGTGAGCACCACGCATGCAAATGGTACACAGAAATACATTCAGGCGAAAGCCATACATATAAAATTAAAATAAACAAATTTTTAAAATGTTTTTAAAGAAAAATATCTGTATGCATAGTAAAAACTACTAACTTAATAACCTTAATAAAGCATTAAAAATTCTAAGAGCTCAACAAAATACAAAAATGTATGTTGCAATGCTAAATGCAAACAGTATAATGATTTCTATTTATTCTATAATTAGTACAAATAATGTATATTATTATATGTGTAATATATACATAATATATATATATATATATAAAGTAATATAACTTGTATAAAGAAGGTCTGGGGCTACAGCTTGTCTACCATATACAATGCTCTAGGTTCAAAAAAGGAAAGAAAAATTTGCATTATAATTATATAAAAATTTCTTTATACCCAAGAAATTTGAACTGTTAAAAAACAATTGAGAGATAATTGAATTTCAGATTTGTTTTTCATTTGTAAGAATATTATTTAAATAAGAATAACAACTTGTGAAATGTTTTTAGCATATAGATTAATGGTTCTCAAACTGTAGAAGCTTAAGGACTTAAGTTTTTGTCTTAATTTTCCAGTTACCAGTTTCAGGACAGCAAGTTTTTGTGACTCACTTATTCCTTCCACAATGCTTAGCACTGCACCTATGACCTAGACAGAACCAGTCAGGACCAGTGATGATTAGCAATTACATATAACACAAAATAAGAACTTACTGTTATTTGTTGGTTCAGAAAATCCAGCCTTTGGACCACTCCATCCTTTGTTTTCCCCTGTCTGAAAGATTAAATCAATTGTTGAAATCTACACAATCAGGCATATTGAAACAATGTTACCTGACCACTTTAGGGAGGGCAAAAATGTCTCTCATGGCTACTGGTATATCCTCTTCAACTCTCACCCTAGGTGACAGCTACAGAAATAACTAGTGTGAACAGGACATTGTCCCCTTTCTACATGAGTCTACTTCTGTTTCACTTGCTGCTTCTGGGTTGCTACAGTTTGCAAGCATAAGTTTTTCAGCTTATAAGGCATCAACAAAACCTGCCATATATAACATGTATTACACAGAAAATGGTCAGTAATTTTTACTCAAGAAGTAAAGGAGTATCTTCATCCCTTCTAAAATCAAAATAAGAACAGAAATGTTACTGTGTCAATTCTGAAAAAAAAAAAAACTTTACTAAGTATCACCAAAATATAAATGCACCAAATAATCAGCCAACATTATTTTTACAAGAATTTTTTTTTGTCTCTTTCATTATAAATCTTAAGGTGGTAAGGACACATACTGGCAAAAGGAAAGTAAAACACTAAACTAAGAATCATGACAAATGTGTTAACACCGTTCCCAAAACCAGTAGTGTAACATAAACCAGGAAGCACATCACTCTTTGTTTATCTCTTTATCCTCTTAAGACAACATTTCCTGTCCTCTCCACATTTACCCCCTGAGAGATCTGTTGTGGAATATTCCTCTAACTATGTAAAGATGTGTTGCTGCTTCACCTTGCCTGCCTAAGGCACCTGAGCGGTCTAATAAAAAGCTGAATGGCCAATAGCTAGGCAGTAGAGGGATAAGTGGGGCTTGTGGGCAGAGAGAATAAGTAGGAAGAGGAATCTAGAGCAGAGAAAAGAGAAAAAAAAAACGAGACATGAGAGAACACAGGAGAAACAGAGGAAGACACCCTGGGTCAGCCAGTCAGGCAGCTGCCAGACAGACACAGAAGAAGCAGGAAAAGTAGGACACACAGAATGAAAGAAAGGTAAAAACACCCAAGGCAAAAAGTAGATAAAGAGAAACAGTTAAATTAAGTTATAAGAGCTAGTTGGACAAGCATAAGATAAGGCTGAGCATTCATAATTAATAATAAATCTCTGTGTGATAATGTGGGAGCTAGTTGGTGTCCCAAAAGAAAGCCTGCTCATAAATAAATAAATAAATAAATAAATAAATAAAAGCCTGCTACAAGATCACTGCTGTAACCTTTGACTACAAAATTCTAATATAGACGTTCTTTGCAAAACAGAAATTACTATATAATAAATAGTCCAAAAGTACTAACCACCAACAATAGTAACATTGAAGACTATATTTGGTTATGAGCTAATTGTTTTGTATGAAAATAGATGATCTCATTCTACCTCACAAAATCTGATGTTGTATTATTACCATTTGGGCTTCTAAAGATGCAAACCAAAGTGTCAGAGGCAGTTTTCCTAAGTTTTGAAATG